CTTCCAGAGAAAGGAACCCTGTTCATGGAGGGCCCTAAGCAAACAGTTTTTAGGAGAAAGAGACTAGAATAAGCTGAAAGAAGGGCCAATCACAGAGCCTGCCTCCACCATTGAAAAAGTTGGCAGATGAATAGGAACCTATACCACTGCCAGCATGGTGTCCAATAGCTGCAACTGTATTTAAATTTACATTACATTAAATTAAGAATTGAGTTCCTTGGTCACACTGACATGCTTGGTAAGTTCATTTAGTCATGGATAGTGATGGTTACTGGGTTACCACAAACTTTCAGTTTCATTTGGTTAAGGAATTTTAAATTTCCTCCCTGATTTCTTCAATGACCCACTGCACAAGCAACAAGAAAAAATACATTGTTCATAGGTAGATGTCATGGCTCATGCCTATAATTCCAACCCTTCAGAAGTAGAGGCTAGAAGGAATTCAACTGAAGAAGAACGTTGCAGGCAGGGAAGAACAGAAAAGATAAAATGAGAAATGAACAACAAAAATCCCCAAAGCAAAAATGCTACTGAAAGTATAGTAAAGAGATGGAAATGGAAACATGGGACAAAGGAAGAAAGAAATTTAGTAAAAGAAAAATGATTATCCAGCCGTGAAAGAAACCATACAAAGAATATTAGAAAAATGTGCAAAATAAAATACAAAGCAAAACATTTGGAATACGATGACATAAAAATACTGGTAAGAGTGTAATAAAAAGACATGAAGGTACTATTATAAAATTATAGAGAGAGAGAGGTGGTGGGGGGAGGGTCAGATGGTTTGTCCTTATCTTCTGTATGGCTTATGCCTGGTACTGAGCAGGTTGGGCGGTATCTGCTAGAGTAACCTCCTCACTACTTTCCCTTCTTTCATACAAGTGCCCTCATGGGGTCCATACTTAACTTTGTAATCTGTGGACTGGGCAAGTTCTACCACCTTCTAGAAACTTTGCAGTTCATACTCCCAGGTGAGTACTGCTCTGTTTTGAAGCATCTCCCAGTTGGTTTGGTGGTGTGGGAAGCCACAACGGTGGTTGACCTGTCTTTATACTTTGAAGACCTAGTAATCACATGCTTAAAGCATGCAGTTGTGGATAGCAAGTCAACCTCTAGAGCTTTAGAGTTTTGGGGATCTACAATAATGAATGGCAGGCAGATGAGTGGTCCCAGAAATTGGATCCCCTTGTAGACCTTGGGCTCAGGGCTATGTTAAGTTATACAATCTACTTCAAGTAGTGGAGGTCAGCATTACCTTTCCCATGCACTTTGTTGTCTGAGCTGAGCCGCCTTCCACCTACATCTTTTGGCTTGGTAGTATTGCTTCTTTCCACAAATGCCCACCAGGGATGTGTCTGGCCCTGGGGATTGTGGCAGATTACATCTTTGTCCCAGTGCCAGGCACCTGGTTTATCTTTTGAAGAAGCCATGTGTTTCCCCTCCCCTTTTAAGGGATGAACATTCAATGATGGTTAAGATTTAGGAAAATAGCTGAATAATTCTCTTATATTTGTTACATTTAGCCCTCATTACATTAGGTATATTAAATAAAGGTTAATATAGCATTTTAGGTCGATTCCAATTTCACATAAAAAAGATATCTCATACCTGAAAGTTAGATTAATTTTCCAATTTTAAAACTTTGTTTTTGTTACTAGAAACAAAGAGGTTTCTGAATATGTAATATATGCAATATATATCCACCTGTTCCTAGGAGTCTCTAACAGGGTGGGGATAGGAACAAGCAGCTGTACTACACCTATAGCACCTCTCAGACCTGAGAACAGAGAGGGTATTGTGTTCTTAGATTTTTTTTTCCAATTGAAAGTAGAGAATTTTTGCAAATATTTCTAGGATTAAAAAGAAAAGTGCAAAATTTTTATTCTAAAGTACTTTGTGATTTGTGTGATTCTGATGTTGCATCTGACATAGTAACAAATGCATTTTTATATATGTAGAAAATAATCTGGGGCCCCTAACATTGGGGGAAAAACAACAAAAATGAATTTTCCTGTCTTTGTTTGTTTGTTTGTTTGTTTTTGTTTTTGAAGGTGTTTATGAATGAAACTTCCTTTTGTTTTTTTGTTTTGTTTTTCTTTTTTCACTTTGTCAGATTGTGGTATCAAGGTTATGCTGACTTTAGTTAATGAGATAAGAAGTGTTTCGTATTTTGTTAATGCTGTTCTCTGGGGAAACTATGTAAATGATTTGAATTAATCGTTCATTGAAAAATTGGAAGCATTTCTTTGTAAAGTTATCTAGGCATTGCATTCTCTTTGGGAGATAGTTTTTTAATCTACTAATCCAATTTCTTTAAATGTTGTAAAACTCTTGTATTTTCTATTTCTTCTTGAGTCAGTCTTGATAAATGCTGTTTTTTAGAGAGCTTTCCCAACTTCATGAAGTATTGGTCTTTTATCACTGTCTTCTAGTTTCTTCAGATTAATTTCTCAGTGATTTGATTTTTTCCTCTAGAATTTGACAGATTAAACTACCCTATTCTTCCCTTAGCACTTGGAGATACTAGGATCAAGAGCTTGCTGATCACCTGTTTGTCTTTAACCTGTTTTTCTCTGTATGCATTATGGATACAAGATTCCAAAGAGTCAGCCTGGTAGTGCTAGTTTACAGAATCTTTGACTCTGGCCTGTCATTTCTGATGTACTCTAGACTACTTTGGTGTTTTTTCAGGGTCTTTAGACCTTCATGTGTCTAATATTAATTTTTTACATGATTCATTGGCCAAGAGCCCAGTGAATAAACTCCTGGTTCCTTTTTCCAATGTTCCAGTTCTTCCAAGCATGTAAACCCAAGTATTATTTGGTTTTTGCCTCTGAACATCGCTGTTCCCTCATAACAGCTCATATCAAATTCAGTTGGGTTGTTTGTGTCAGACCACCAGAAGAGAGAGAAAAGCTTAGACCACAGAGTATTCGTGGGTGGGGGGATATATACAGGAGTCTCTACCTTTATATTGAGGAAATTATTACAACTAATAAAACAAAACTTTTTTATATAAAATGTGACTTAATTATCAGATGGCCTTTTATTAAAAATGTTTCCATCAGTAGTAAATCCTTCTTGCTCCTCACAAAGTCACCAGTGAGTTTCTTCTGTGCAAGTAAAATACTCAACTGAGTAGGACAAGGGTAGAGCACAGCCTGAGACCCTCTCTCAGAATCGTCTGTACCATCCTTTCCAACATTGAAAATGGCCTCCTTAAATGCCACGCCAGTTTTAACCTGATTGCTCCAATCACTGTATCTCATCTGTAACTCTTCTCCAATCCGTCCCACCCCCACCTCAAACAAGGTTTCTTTGTGTAGCCTTGGCTGTACACTGTAAACCAGGCTGGCCTCAAACTCACAGAAATCTTCCTGACTCTGCTTCCAAAGCACTGGGATTTATTGGGATCTATTTTGAGGGTGTTCCTACTAGGCTTTCTGTGCCCCAAAACCATATACATATGGGCAATACTAACTGTACTTAATGGGTTATCGAAACATCAAAACACACACACACACACACGCCAAGTCATGAAGTTAGGAGGGGGATATGAAAAGAATATGTAAAATGATTACATATTCCATTCTTGCCATACTGGACAAGATGGCCTTCAGGGACAACAGGCCTTCACTTTGATCTTCCATTTCTCATAGCAACAGGTCCTAGGGCCCATCTTGATCTAGAACCCTCAGGGTTCTGTGAGAAATTAATTCTGGATTAGCCAAGTTGACAATGCAAAGCCACAGAAGTAATTTTGGAATCTATATAATTTGGGTGCAATGATTGATTACATGAATCATTTTACACAGACATTTATCCCAAAGGCATGTGCCACTGCTGCCGAGCTCAGGAACTCTTATGGTGGTCATTGTTTCATTTTTGACCTGCTTTTTAAGCATTGTCGGTGTTACATGCTTGTTCTACCTTTTGAAGAGAAATCACTTGTCATAGTTACTTCTCTACTGCCATGCCAAGACACCACGGCCAAGACAACTTACTGGAGAAAGTTTATCAGGGTCTTACAGTTTCAGAATATGAGTTGTGACCATCATGATGGACAGCATGGTAGCAGCAGACAGGCATGATGCTGGAGGAGTAGCTGAGAGCTCACATCTTGAAACAATAACCACAACCATGAGACTGAAGGGCTAACAGGCTGACATGTGATTTTGAGTCCTCAAAGTCCACCCCCAGTGACACATCTCCTCCAACAAGGCTGTACTTTCTAAAACAGTTTTCACCAACTAGGGACCAAGTATTCAAATACATAAGCCTGTAGGGCCATTCTCATCCAAACTAGTGCTCTATTTTATTGTATTTTCCTTTTTTTTTTTTTAGTTAAAATTTTTCTTCATTCTAGAGAATTCATACATGTATTTTATAAAATATCATCATACCCACTCCCTATTTTCCTCTTTCTATTCTTTTCATATCCCCCTCCTAACTTCATGACTTGGCGTGTGTGTGTGTGTGTGTGTGTGTGTGTGTGTGTGTGTTTTGATGTTTCGATAGCCCATTAAGTACAGTTAGTATTGCCCATATGTATATGGTTTGGGGGCACAGAAAACCTAGTAGGAACACCCTCAAAACAGATTGATACTCCCTCTTACAGCACCTATCACCTGCCACCGGCTCCTCTTAAGAGAGATGGAACCTGCATAGTTCTTCTCTAGTGCGCTAGAATTTTGACTGGCTTGATCTTGTGGATCTTAAGCAGGTTCCTACAGGTACAAGTTCACGGCCGTTTCACATCCAGAAAACAACCTTCCATACCACTTCTCCCCATCTTCTAGCTCCTCTGTTCTTTCTGTCTCCTATCCTACAGAGTTTCTGGATCCTCTCCCATGATGTCCAATTTCCATTTTTCCAAATCTCTTCATCTCTTTGAAGATATTTAGAAAAGTGATTGTTCCTAGTGATATTGGTAACTGAGGTTGAATGCTTTCCTTCATTTGAATTTACTTTATTTAATAGTTATTTTGCTTGCTTTCCAGGCACACAGACCAATGGCCTGGACTTTCAGAAACAGCCCGTGCCTGTTGGAGGAGCAATCTCCACAGCCCAGGCCCAGGCTTTCCTTGGACATCTTCACCAGGTAGACTATTTGCCAGCCATAACTGAGAATGCTTTTAAACAAGGAGGCATGACATGCTAGAGAGGTTATTTCAAGTCATGTGTTACTGTAATGCTGAATGATTCATGTAGAATTAATAGATTTTGCATAGCTAGCTATTGATTCTATAACTTTGTGAACAAAAGAATTTTTTGTTGCATGGAATATAACAGCTAGGTCACTTTTTTACATGAACATGAGCTTGAGTCTGTCATGGCTTAGTGATGCTAGTAAAACACCAGAGTCATTTGAAATTAACAGTTGGCACTACCATGAAACCATTGTAATTTCGGTGGCTACTCAGAATCTTGCCTGACTGTTAACCTCTTAATTTTAGATTTTAAGAAACTAGCTTTAAATCACTACCCTGATACCACATGGCTTCCCCCCAGTCTAAAACAGAGTGTGAGTTCTGTGCACTTATGTTTCCACTCATTTTACAAAAATGTCATTAGACTACCAAACCATTTTTTGAAAAAAATTATTTTGCTCTATTTGAAAATAGGTGAAATTCAAGCCGGGCGGTGGTGGTGCACACCCTTAATCCCAGCACTTGGGAGGCAGAGGCAGGCGGATTTCTGAGTTCGAGAGTTCAAGGCTAGCCTGGTCTACAGAGTGAGTTCCAGGACAGCCAGGGCTACACAGAGAAACCCTGTCTTGAAAAACCAAAAAAAAAGAAAAGAAAAGAAAAGAAAAGAAAAGAAAGAAGGAAGGAAGGAAGGAAGGAAGGAAGGAAGGAAGGAAGAAAATAGGTGAAATTCTAGGAAACTATCCTCAAATTTGTTTTTTAAGTGAAGTCACGTTGGATTGCGACCTCATTCTTTGCATCTGTGTCCAGCTATTGCCTGTACCCTTATAACAGCTTTCCTATTCTCTTCTTATAACAGCTTTCCTAGTCTCTTCTTATAACAGCTTTCCTATTCCCTTCTTATAACAGCTTTCCTATTCCCTTCTTATAACAGCTTTCCTATTCCCTTCTTATAACAGCTTTCCTATTCTCTTCTGTTTATTTTCACTACCACCATTCTGTCCTGACAATGTTGGAATTTTGGTTTCTTTAAAAACACAGAAATAGTATAAGAATGTAGTTTCATTTTAATCCCAGGCATGGGAGGGAATGTGGGGCTGCTTCTCACTGTCTGCAGCAGCTGACTGTGATCTGCATTGTGCTTGAGCAGAGGTGTATTTTGCCAGCTGCAAATAGTTGTATTGACTGTGTGATGTTGGGAGTCCTGGAAATTTTTCCGAGGGTGGGTTGGTGGTTGTTCAGGGGGGTTGGTTGTGGTTTGTTAATAGTCCTGCTCAAAGAAGACACAAAGGGAAAGAAATTAGATTCATCTTGCGCTCTGGCTCTCTCTCCCTCTCCTTCTTTCTCTCCTATCTTGTGATAGGGGTAAAACCGTGAGGGTAGGCAAAGGGTGGGAAAAAGAACCCACAAAGACCAGCCACACCATTTAGTTTCATCTTCCATTTATTCTAATCTAGTTTATAGTCTTCTCCCTTCTTAGTCTTTCTTTACTTTGAAGACATTAACCTTTGAGAGGCTGCAAGATAGTAGAAGGAGAAAACAAACTCCCTCAATAAATGAATGAATGAACAAATGAATGTTTAGTTTTTAAAAAGACTAACATTTTTTAAGAGCACAAACCAAACATTCAAGAAGATTTCAAAACTTGGGTTTGTCTGCTTTCTTGTCATATTTAGATTATTTTAGATTCAGGTTATCTGCTTTTGGTAGGGTTACAATATAAGAAATACACTCTTCATAGTGCTTGCAGCAGAACGCAAATCTCTCATAGTGACATCACTAGTTGTGCACACCTGTCATTTGTGTGTCAGATAGCCCTCCCTGTGGACTTACCTTTTTACCCTTCCTAATTCTTAGCATCTGTGGAGAGATAGTGGCGCACATACAAATTCTTATTCTCATTTTGCCCTTACTTAGATGATCTGATGGTGACTCTTTTCTAAATCAAGTTGCTATCATGATTGCCAAATGATAGTTTTCTAATTGCATGCCTGTCCTTACTTTAATATGACCTTAAGTTGAACTTTTAAAAATATGAATATTAAATATTGAGACAGATTTCTTTTCATGTATGGCTCATAGGATAAATTCTCTTAACTAATTCTTTTGTTCATAATGATAAAAACATTGCATGTGGATAGTTTGTTTTTATGTGTGCTTTAAAGCAATTTGGGAGATATAAGTTATGTTTTTAGACCCTAAGCAACTTACGACTATGAGTAGAGTGTAAAATAAGGAGTACCCACCCAGAGCAAATGGCATGCTTGATGGTGTACATTTAGTGATGGTGCTAATTCAGAAGAAGTTTCTACAGTTTTCAGAATAATATCCTTCAATGTTCAATTCTAACTTGGTGGTATATCTTAGTATCTGAAGTATTTCTTGATGACACTCTCTAGTGATAAATAAGAATATTTTAGATTATTATGTCCACTATTAATTACTTTCCTCTTAGGTCCAGCTTGCTGGGACAAGTTTACAGGCTGCTGCTCAATCTTTAAATGTACAGGTAAGTTGGAATATGAGCAACTAGGTCATATTTTCTATTTATTTGTCCATAATTTCCTGTAATGAGCACATAATTTAGAATAGGAACTATTTGGGATTGTTACTACTTACTAATTTTATTATTTTTATATTTTTATTGCTGAATCCATGTGGTAATGGTTATTAATGAAAATCAGTTTAATCTGCTACTGTGTGTGAGCCAAAGGTGGACAAGCGAAGAAGTCCACTTTCAGAGTTTAGAATGAAGTTCAGGAACACATACTGTCTTAGTCAGAGTTTCTGTTCCTGCACAAACATCATGACCAAGAAGCAAGTTGAGGAGGAAAGGGTTTATTCATTCAGCTTACACTTCCACATTGCTGTTCATCACCAAAGGAAGACAGGACTGGAACTCAAGCAAGTCAGGAAGCTGGAGCTGATGCAGAGGCTGCAGAGGGATGTTACTTCCTGGCTTGCTTCCCCTGGCTTGCTCAGCTTGCTTTCTTATAGAACCCAGGACTACCAGCCAAGGGAAGGTATCACTCACAATGGGCCCTTCCCCATTGATCACTAATTGAGAAAATGCCTGACAGCTGGATCTCATGGAGGCATTTCCTCATGAAGCTCCTTTCTCTGAGATAACTCCAACTTGTGTCAATTTGACACAAAACCAGCCAGTGCACATACTAAATACAAAAGGAAACAGCTTCGCAAGCATTATTCTACTTTTACAGACTGTGTATTCCGGAAACACTGGGTAGAGAGTCAGGTAGCTTGAATTTTAAAGTCTTAGTAATCTTTGGCAAGTTACAGCCTGCTGGAGCTCAGTTTTATGTACTGTGTTTAAATAAAGACACCGATAGCATTGTAAGGGATCTTCTCTGCTCTACACAGAAGTAAAATGAAAGGGCACTGGAGTCATTGCCCAGTGGTTAAGAGCACCAGTGGTTAACAGCCACATGTACTGCTCTTACAGAGGACTCTGGTTCAGTTTCCACGTCAGGGTACTTTGCACAACTCCATAATGCTTCAGTCAGCCTTTCCTTGTAGTGTTTGGGAAACTAACAGTCAAGAAGGAAAAACAGTATTCTAGAAGATTGATCATCGTGATGCTGATGACTAAAGATTTGGGGTTGAACATTCTCTGAAATCTTGTGGAATATGGACCTAGTAACACATGGAAACAAGGAGAGAAAAAGAGATAATGTGGCCTTCCTTTCTGAAAGAGAGGAGGCAGAAAATTGCCTTGGTTGCCATGGTAAACTTAACATCCCTTAGAGAGATGTTGGCAAACAGACTATATCTCCAGTGCAGAATGTTTACAGTCCTGCACTGTAATTATCTTTCAGTGACTGGCAGAATTAATCAGAGCTTTTATGTTAATTAGCTTTGCTGTAGTCCCCCAAACAGGTGGTGGAAAATATGCAAATCTATGCAGAATTTTAATACTCTGCATAACCAATTTTAATTACCATTAAAAAAATTTCTCTCTGGCCCTTTAAGGTCTATATTTCTTAACTGTATTATTTTGTTTTTATGTTGGTTGTTTGCTTGTTTTTTGAGAAGGAGTTTCTCTATTTAGCCCTGGCTGTCTGGAACTCAAAGGCTCTGTAGACCAGGCTGGCCTTGAACTCAAGAGATTAGCCTGCCTTTACCTCCCCAGTGCAGAGATTAAAGGAATGTACCACCACTGTGATTGTACTATTTTCTTTCAAGCTTGTACATTACTTGGTGGAGGTGGAAAATGTTGCATTTAGAGTTTTTCAAAATAAAATTTTAAAAAGTTCTGTGGTTCAAGTAATTGAATTGTAAGATGGTATATGAAGAAGTTTGAGACTTGCCACAAAGTATATTCACAGTGTTAGTTTGAAGGATCTAATAATAGAAATGAATTGGAAATGCATTCTTCCTTTTATTCTTTATTGTTTGAAGTGGGGATTTGAGGTTATGCAAGGTTTTGTTAATTTGTGAAGGACCAATTTAGTTTTTCTTTTAAAAATTTATAATTGCAACTTTTCTGAGGTTAGTATAAAAATTTAAGAGTGCTTCAATAGGAAAACAAAAAGGCATAGGACAAAGAAAGGAAAAAGAGAAAACCCCAAAACTCAAAATCGAATAGCACATATTTAAATAATTTTTTAATAACAGAGTTAGAAGTACATTTCTATTAATCACCTATTACAGACATTTAATTTTATTTCATTTCCTATCCAACCCCACTTCAGTCTAAATCTAATGAAGAGTCGGGAGATTCGCAGCAGTCAAGCCAGCCTTCCCAGCAGCCTTCAGTGCAGTCAGCCATTCCCCAGACCCAGCTAATGCTGGCTGGGGGACAGATAACTGGGGTAAGTTTTCCTTGAGAATATTGTAATGAACTTCCTGTGTCTGAACTGCCACTCGTTGCATCTCATTAAAACTGTTTGCTACAGCTGGCACTAGCATGCACTACTGTACATAAGGAACTTCTGGATGTGGAGTGTTCCTCTGGAAGAGGACTTACTTTTGTCATTCTTTACAAGTTGTCTTTTTGTTACAGCTGTAGACATTCAAAATAAACTACTAACTTTTTAACCCACATTAAAAAATAGTGTTGCTTCATTGTGCAAGGGAATATGCCTGGTAAAATTTGAGTTGTGTTATGCCAGGACAATTAAAGAGTAGATTAATAAAGAAACATTTTTTATTTGGTTTTGGTTTTGAAGACAGGGTTTCTCTGTGTAGCCCTGGCTGTCCTGGAACTCACTCTGTAGACCAGGCCGGCCTTGAACTCAGAAATCCACCTGTATCTGCCACCTAAGTGCTAGCATTAAAGGCATGCGCCACCACTGCTTGGCAAGAAACATTTTTTAAAGTGACTTTGCACTATCCTAAAATAAAATATATGGCCTCATATCCTGTCTGTGTAATTACTGATTACTCAAGGATGACTTACTTTATCTCTCTGTACTTCAGTTTTCCTTCTTCTAAGTGGAGGTATTAATAATATCTCTCTTAAGTACCATTGTAATTTATGTAATGCTCTTAAAACAGTGTTTGGCATGTAGCCTTCATAAATGGTAGTTATTTTAACTTGTAACAAATTGTCTTCTGTGACTATTAAGCTTTTACATGTTTAGCGGTTTCTGTTTTAAGCTATTATTTGGGATGACTTTTCAGTGTTGAAAGCATATGTATTATCCTTTGTGAAGAGACAGAGTCAGGAGAATGATAAGAAAGAAACTAATCAATTTACAGCACATCAACCTTCAGAACTTTTTATAATTAATTTCAGCTAGTGTGACTGAACTTTAGATAGTTCTTCTAAGAACTACTGCACATTTATTTTCAGTATTCAATCAATAGAGATTATTAACATATGTAATTTTAAAATGCAAACATACATACACACATTTTGAAGAGTATGGAATTTTTGAATAGCTGCTCTGGTTCGTGTGTTTCTAATGAAGTGGATTGGTTAAATTAGACCATAATTAGTAGGTTAGTTAGAAGGCAGGCTGTGCTGCTAAATGATTGTTTGTGAGACTAGATATAACATGATCCTTTCCTGTTTGAGCAGAACATGTCACCAAAAGAAAAGGCCAGCTTTGATTATAAGTGTATTTGAAATGATGTATTATAGAAGTTTAAGTTTATTCTAAATACATTTCTTGCTTTATTGTTAAGGTTTGGGTTTTGGTGACTAGTGTCTAAGATAGTAATGGGAACTTGGAATTCCAGGTTCCTGTACCTTCAAGACTTAAATCTGGGTGTTTAGATTTATTTGCATTTAAGAGGGTAGCTCTTACCACCTGTTTCCTAGAGATAATAAGTTGGAAAGAAGATGTAAACTTACAAACCTACGCTTTTCAAGGGCAGGAGATTGGGTGAGGGAAGGTCCTGGAGGAAGATTTGTAAAGGAAAGAAGTGTGGCTCATGTTTTTTAGTCACATCTTAAGACAACATGGAAATGGTGAAATATGATGGGGATTCTAGCTAATAGGAAGCAGCTGGGCCTTCCCAGCTCTCTGCCGGCTCCTAGCCAGCATCCTTTTGTTCCTCAGTCATCTGACTAATCACTTGTTGTTGGGTGTAAATGTCTTTGCATATCCTGTCAGCATCAGTCTTTTGTTTTCTTTGTGCAAGTTTATATTTCTGGCGTAAATGATTGTTCAGGTCTGAAGTGGGGACTACTTTAAGTTACAGGCTCTGGTAGAACAAGTAGTTTGTTCATTGGTGAACAGTTTAGCTGCATATTGGGCATGTGAAACAGTAGTGTGGACCTAATCCCACTTGAGGTACCTGTTTGAAGGCATTCAGTCTTTCCTGTCTCTGTTCTTACTCTAGCTCACTTTGACCCCAGCCCAACAACAGTTGTTACTACAGCAGGCGCAGGCCCAGGCCCAGCTCCTGGCTGCTGCAGTGCAGCAGCACTCCGCCAGCCAACAACACAGTGCTGCTGGGGCCACCATCTCAGCCTCTGCTGCCACACCCATGACACAAATCCCCCTGTCTCAGCCCATACAGATTGCACAGGTGAGTGAGGAGCAAGGTCACGGGGACAGCAAACAGCTAATAAAATGGGAAATTTTATTGCATAGTGTTAGCCTTCCAGCTGCCTCTGTGGTTCTTTAAACACCCAAGGAACTCTAGTTCAAGGAGCCATTATTATCCCTGCTTCCTTTTTTGCTTGTTTGAGTTGATATTATAAATATATTGCTGATTATTTGAATAACTGAATGTTTATGTTAAATGAAATTCTTGAGTAAGTAGCTGGCATATTTCCGAGGCAAGAGATTACAGTATTCATCTTAATTAGCTAATTATAGCAGGCGAGAATTGTTCCATGTGCTCTACAGTAAGTGTTGCCACCTTGTGAAAAAGACAGCAAGCCATCATTCTGCTATGGAGTGACTAGAATCATGGAGAACTGCTTTAAAATGTTACAGAGTTTCAATTTTTATATTTTCAAATAAAATATCCAAAGGTAATTTAGAAATTACTTAGAGTCATAAAGAATTGTAACCAAAAAAGAAAATATATGAAATCCTTTATCTTAAGAGAAGGAAAGGGAGCATGAAAAGTTAGATATAACATATAAGAAGTGTTAGAAACTGAACAATTCTCTTTAGATCCCCAGAGGAGGCAGGAAGTGCTTAAGTTGTAACAAGAGTTTGACTAGATACTTGAAGTAGAGTCAGACTGATTTTTATTACTGTGTGGACATCTGTATCAAGATACTGTTTTGATTTCAGCCATTTTCTTCATCAAATAAATTATGTTACTGCCTAAACTCTGAGACTTTGTCTGAAATTAATATAAATAAGATCATTTATATGAAGGCACTGAAAATGTAAAAACTAGAGCCAATATAAAGCCGTAGTGTTTTGTTGTATCTGACTTTTATGTGAATTTTTTAAAATAACTTGACATTGATTCCTAAACTGAATTGTCAAATTTCAGGAATCAAATCTTTTCATTTTTTGATGAAAATTTGGATATATCACTCAATTTTTACTTTAGAAAAAAATGGCTCAAATATTCAAAACCCTTTTTCTCACTTAATTTTTAAAGAACATTTAGTCTCTGTTTAGATCAGAGCTACAGGAACAGAGCATATAGAATGAATGCATATTAATTTATTAGCCTTTATCAGAGTAGTTTACAGGCTATGGTCCAGCTAGATCAATGATGGCTTTCTCTCAGTTCATGCAGCTGGATGTCTTAGCTGGTCTTTTATCTTGGACTCCTGAAAAAGTAGGTTCTATTACCAATAGAGGAATGCCTCAGCAACAGGATAGATGAATATAACCAGAGGAAAAGAAAGCACAGAGACAAGAAGCAAAAGAAGTCCTTCTTCCCTGTTCCTTTATGTGGGCTACTTCCAGAAGGCAGAGCCCAGATTTAACATGGGTCTTCCCACCTCCAATGAGCCAGTCAGGAAGAGCTCTCAGAGACATGCATAGCTGCTTGCATTTTAGTTGATTCCAGAGGCAGGCAAGTTGCCATTCAAGATTATCTCTCTCAGTGGTAGCAGGTGGAAGTCTTCTGATTTCCACATGTATATGAGGCTTATACAAACCTCATCACACACTAATAACAGTAAACTAAATTTTAAAATTGAAAACCATTCCCCCCAGAACATTTATTCTGTATTCATTTATTCTGAAAGAATTTTAAGTAACTATTGAAAATTGGGCTTAACATAATCATGATGCTATATACATCATAATCTCAAAAATAAAACTTCTTGCAGAGTCCCTAAGGTTTTTTGGTTTTGTTCTTGATATTTGCTGTTTGTGTTTGTGAGTCAGAATAATTCTCAGGAGTCAGTTCTCTCCTTCCATCATGGATTCTAAGGATCAAACTCAGGTCTTCAGTCTTGCACAGCAAGCACGTCTACCTGCTGAGCCATCTCTGGCCTGAGGCCTGACAATTTCCCACACACTGACATAGTCTTGGAGGCCACACTGTTGGGACATTAAAAAAAGCTGAGTAGTGTCTCTTGTTACTTGATACAAATCATTACCTAGGAACCTTATGACTAATCCAGCTTTCATTTCAGAATCTCTCTCTAATCTTTGTTTTGCTTCTGAGCTTTTAGGATCTTCAACAATTGCAACAGCTTCAGCAGCAAAATCTCAACTTGCAACAGTTCGTGTTGGTGCACCCAACCACCAACTTGCAACCAGCACAGTTTATCATCTCACAGACTCCCCAGGGCCAGCAGGGTAAGCATCTCCCTAAAGCTCCTCAGTGGCGCAGCAGAGCTGTGCACTTTGACCTAATAATATCCATTCGGACAATGCTTTTATTCAGTGTGGTTTCAAACTACCAGTATTCATGAGAACTATAACAGTGCCTTAAATCAGGAATATAGGTTCCATATAAGAATAGAAGACCTAAAAGATCAGGAAAGGCTAGGTTACTAAGGGAAATTTCCAGGACTTTAACCTGAAATCATGCAACTTAATCATTTCCAACGCTTAATTTATTTGCAAGTCACTGGAAAAATGAGAAAGGTAGTTTTCTGAGTCTCATCCCAAAATTTTAACTAGTTCTTTGTGAAGTTGCATTTGAATGTCTGATATCTTCCAAAGTTTTCTGTAGGATATTTAAAAACAAAAAACTAAAGTAAAAAACTGACATTAGCTATTTGTATTAAGAAAGCTTATTTACACTGAAACTTGGGGAGGTTAGAATAGTCAAGAATAGATTTAGTAATACTCATCAGCAGAGTTTTGCAAGGTCATGTTGAGATTAATCAGAACTGAGCTATGATCATGAGAGCAGAAAAGAGAAGATGATACAGCAAATAGAAAGGACTTGGGCAAGGCATGGTAGAACTGGCCTTTAATCCTAGCACTTGGGAGTCAGAGGCAGGAGGATCTCTGAGCTTAAGGCCAACTTGGTTTATATAGTAAGAGCCTGTCTCAAACAAAATAAAGAAAGGACTTAGTGGTCATTTATATTTGGTCAGTGGTAAGGAAAGAGTATCTAGGTGATTACATTTTTAAGAAACTATAAGTGGGAGCTGGAGAGATGGCTCAGCGGTTAAGAGCACGGACTGCTCTTCCAGAGGTCCTGAGTTCAAATCCCAGCAACCACATGGTGGCTCACAACCATCCGTAATGAGATTGGATGCCCTATTCTGGTGTGTCTGAAGACAGCGACAGTGTACTCATAAATAAAATAAATAAATCTTTAAAAAAAAAAAAGAAACTATAAGTGTTGGTAGGTCATAAAAAGATGTATTCATGGTAATGAGCGAGCTTTAGTAAACCCAACACTTTTGAAATAGTAGGGATACATAGAGTCTGAATAATACTATTTTGGTTTGTAGATCAGAACCAGTAAAAATTGATCATTACAATGAAAGAGAATTCCAAGAGAGAACGAAGAAATGATCTGTCTAGATGAGAAAGCCTTTCACAAGCCAAGCCTGAACAGTGTGTGTTAGATCTGGTAGTTGTTGAGACCTAAGATTGAATGAGATTACTTTTCCTTTATTTTTTACAAAGCCTAAGGATATTATTGTCTTTTACTTTTTTTTTTAAATAGTTGAGCCTTTATAAGGCATTACAAGGCAGTTACAACAAGAAATGGCTATTCTAATTTTTTTGTGTATGTTTGTATATTCTTAATTTCTTCCTTTCTAGCCTTTCGCAGGATTGGGAAAATAGCAGAGAGTGGAAAAGAATACTGGTTGGCTTAGAAGCTCTAACCGTAGACAAGCCACCTAAGTATTCTGAGTTCCAGATCTCCCCCTTTACCCTGTTTATCTTACCCTTTAATTATGAGTAAATTATGTAAAATGTTTTCTTGATATCAAGGCCATTATAATATAGTAACAAGCCAAGCTGCCTCTCTATGAAGAAGTATAATTTTTCTGAGCCTCAGTTTTCTTACCTGAAATATGATAATAGTTTTAGCATTTATGTTCAGAATTGTAGGGATTTAGTAAGTAAATATATGAAAGTACTTTCAGGAAATGTGCCTTATACATAATAACCTCAAATTTTGCCACTATTACCATTAACATCATATCAATATCAACATCAGTTATCATAGATGTAATTTAGAAAATAAAAGTCTGTTCTTCTGTATAGTAAAAACCAGCAGGAAAGTAATCGGGACTTGGGAAAAGTGGCTCAGTGGGTAAAGCACTTGCATAAGCATGTAGACCCAATGTCCAGATCCCTAGCACCCGTGTCTTGGCCTGGAAGGGCTTAAGAAGCACTAGTAAGAATTTTCCCAGGAGTAATGAGTTGGATAGCTAATCTAGCCAAGCCGGGACTAGCTCTGATTTCAAGTTAGAGATCCTACTTCCATATGTAAGATGGAAAGAGATTGAAGAAACTCTGACCTAAAATTCTGGCCTCTGAAAACATGTACATGCATACCCATGTACACGTGCATGTAACATCACATGCACATACACACAGCAAAAAAAAAGGTAACCTGGAACCTGTTTGTACCTCTGCTATTGAGCTCTAATCTTAGTAGCATAGGCCCCGTATTTCATCTAATAAGATTAGCCAACAGTATGAAGGAACAGAGCCCTGAAAAGACTTGGTTTCCAGTAGAGTCGCTGTAGTTAATAGAAACTGAAAAGCTGATTAAATCTTAGTTTTGTGTGAAGGGGACAAGGATTGATTTGTTGAGATTTTAACAAAATAAAATCTCCAGTGTGAGATTAACCTCCACTTGGGCAAGCACTTCTGCTCTCCCCCCCACCCCACCCCCCGAGGAAATACTGTTAACCTGAGACTTTGAAAGTATTAGTTATGTGGATGCTCACAGCCAACCATCAGACTGAGCACAGGGACCTCAATAGAGGAGCTAGGGGAAGGACTGAAGGAGCTGAAGGGGCATCAATGGAGGGGAGGCCCTTGGTCCTGTGAAGGCTTGATACCCCAGTGTAGAGGGATGCTAGGGCGGTGAGGGAGGGAGTGGGTGGGGAGCATCCTCATAGAAGCAGGGTAAGGGGGGATGAGATAGGATGTTTGCAGAGGAGAAACTGGGAAAAGGGATAACAGTTGAAATGTAAATAAATATCCAATTAAAAAATAACACAATTAAGAAAAAAGGAAGTATAGTTTATAATATTACAATATTGCTGTGATTATGGAACTACTTAAAAATATATTCTCCAAGAATTGATTATTCTTGGGAAAATTCTTACTAGTATATTCTGAGTCATATATTTCATAGGAACTTGTATTTGGCCTTTTCTTGGTTCTCATGGAAGTTCTAGGCTTCTCTGCACCCTTTCAGCTGACCTTATTGGCAGAGAGGGAGAGGTAGGATGACCTGAAGTTTGAATTTGTTCATAGACTATGTTACTGTGAACCGAATTAATCATTCAATATTATAATTTCTGGTAAAATGTGGTTTTAATATTTTGTTTCCAGAGAAACAAAAACTAAACTTTTCTCCTAAACTTTAAAGAAACTCATTGTTTAATGTCTGAGCTTGTACTCTTCTGTTTCATTTTTTGTTTTATAATATTCTTCAAGATTTTTTATTCTTTTCTAAAGAATCTTAGTAGATTCTTATTATTGACATAAAATGTAATTTTATTTTTCTCACTAGATAATATTTTGTGTTCAAACCCATAAAATCTATAATTATACTTAATTTGCTCAGCAGTTTGTTGAGTACCTGCCAAGTGTCTTGATATCACTAATTATTGGAGTTATAATTTTCAGCAAGATGAAATTCCCCTGCACTTACTAAACTCTAACAGCAGTAAACATAAATAATGAGCTTGAGAGCAGCATGTTCAGGGAAGACGGGAGGTTTGACTGGCCTGGTAAGAGTTGACTTGTAGAAGATATAGGGGTGTTGAGTCTAAAGACAGCCTGTCTGCGGAGTGACATCTGAATTGGGAACTGACTGGTGAGCTGGAGGCTGCTGTGACTGGGTGTAGAGTTGGATGCCTGGCCTTGTAGTTAATGGAGAGTCCAGAGAACCTGAGAGGGGAACGAGCCTGCCCTAAACCACAACAGGAAAGGCCAGTGTAACTAGAGATCAGTGAATGAGAAAAAGTGGTATGAAATGAAGCGTAAGAGCTTAGGGTTGGGGATGCAGCTCCTTAGTAAGTCTTGCCATATAAATGGACCCGCATTTGGATCTATAGAACCCATACAGATGCTGAGTGTGGTGACTCCATCTGTAATTCTGGAAGTGCTGGAAGACAGACAGGATTCCCAGGGGAAGCTACTTAGCTAGTCTAGCCTACCAGAGCTTGTGGTTCAGTTGAGAGACCCTTCTTCAGTAAACAAAGAAGACAGTGATTGAGGAAGAGCACACACACGTTTTTGAGAAAGAACAAGAACAAGCAATACAGGAAGGACCAGATTGCTTAGGACTAAACAGACAGTTTTCTGTTTTAGTTGTAATGGAAGACCAGCGAAGATTTGGTTTGGTGACAGTGTCTAACTATGGTGCACATGTGAACTTTGAACTTCTACGCCAGCCTCCCATATGCTGAGACTACAAGCCTATACCACCAAGCCTGGCTCATTTGTGTTATATATCAAAGATGTCACCTTAACTACTATATAAGCATAAACTGTAGAGAGGCTAGAGAGTTGGCTCAGTGGTTAACAGCCACAGTCTACTCTTTGCAGAGCAACAAGGCTCAACTCCCCAACAGCCACATGGTAGCTATAACTCCAGTCTCAGGGGAGCCAAAGCTTTCTTCTGCACATATATACATGCAGGCAAAACATTCCTCTACATAAAATAACTGAATCTAAAAATAACTTTAAAAGATTGAGCCATAGAGAGATAGTTGGAAAAGCATGGTGCTCTTTTAAATATGAATTTTTTTCCCTGAATCTGGCTTTTAAAAGAAGTTTGTAACTGGCCGGGCAGTAGTGGCACACGCCTTTAATCCCAGCACTTGGGAGGAAGAGGCAGGTGGATTTCTGAGTTCGAGGCCAGCCTGGTCTACAGAGTGAGTTCCAGGACAGCCAGGACTACACAGAGAAACCCTGTCTCGAAAAACCAAAAAAAAAAAGAAGAAGAAGCTTGTTACCATGTATATCCAATGTACTTAGTTTTACCCTATTTGCCTCTAAATACAAATAAAAGGAAGGGTTATCTGGACCAAATCTATGTAGCTTGAGGTATTAAAAAGGAATGGCAGACATGCTTCCCGGCTCTGCCACCATGTTCCTGCACTAAGCTTAATACCGACCAGAACTCCAGAGCTCCAAAATCTTACCACTCAGCTCGCTAGATTCCCACTGGCGAGTCATTACCACCATCTCTGAGCTTCAAACCCCCACTGCTTTTGTGGGGTAAATCACGCAAACCCACGCTTAGGCGCGAATCCCTGCAAGAAGAAAAACACCAAAGTTAGCTCAGAAACAGTGGTAACTCAATCTCTGGCCACAACAACTAAAACCTAATCTTGTAAACCTTGTAAATCTGATTCCTCCCGGTGGCATGTCCTTGCGGATCCACCGTGAAACCAGGAAACTCTAGAAGTTACATCTTGCCCATGCTCTATCCCCTTTCCAAAACACTCTCCTCCTTCTTCTCTTCCTCCGTCCAACCCAGAAGTCCCGCCTCCTACTCGCCTAGTGATTGGCTCCTTTTTATTAGTGCGATGGTTCACAAGAAGTTCTTAGTACATGACTCATTCCTTTTTTCCAGACAGCCCCTCCCAGGAAAACGGTATTAGCATTAGAATACAAACAGCACCAGGCTCATCACAACAAATCGATTTAATATATTTGTTGTATTTAGGATCTACATTGTCAAATAAACACCTATGTTAATTTCTTAATTTATCCAGTGTTTGCTTACTTATAAATGACAAAATCTGACAGGTTTAATTTTTTTATTATCGTTTTATGTATTCTAATGTTTCAAATTTAGTGGCTAAGAAGATCAGAAAGATAAGCTAGGCTACTGTAACTCACTATCACATTTCCATCTCTGCTCCTGTCTTGTCACGAGCTCATACTCAGTGTTTCAACAACATGATTATATTTGAAACTTAAGTATGTAGATTAAGTTCTTTAATATATATTCTGGGTTGTCTCTGTATTTATAGCATTGCAAAAACAAACAAACAAACAAACTAGACAACAACAAAACCCTATAGAGTTCAATAATCAACTGAGTACATACTACAAATGTACATGTCTCCAGGGGCTCAAGACAGTCTCACTATGTTGTTCAGCCTGACCTCTAACTTTGGGGCTCAAGTAACCCTCATGCCTCAGCCTTCAGAGTACCTGAGACTGTAGGCATGTGCCTTTATATCCATTTTACTTATCGAGAACTTTTAAACTAAGATTGTCCAGTGTGAATAGTTGCTTACATTTCAACTTTCATCAATGAAGAGGCATGTCCTAAGACCTTAAAAATAGCATCTCCCACTTAAAGGAGTGCCTGCTTCTTTCAGAAAAGGATTCCCTTGTTCCAAAATTCATTCAAGCAGCAGTTTTCAACCTGTGGGTCATGGCTGCCTTGGGTACCAAACGACCCTTTCACAGAGTTCACACATCAGATATCTTGCGTATCAGATATTTACATTACAACTCATAACATAAGCAAAATTACCATTATGAGATAGTGACAAAATAATTTTATGGTTGGGGTCACAGCTTTGGGAAGGTTGAAAAACACTGTCTTAGAGAATTTTAATTAATTCTGGGTTAAGAAGTTGAACTTGTCTTGAAATTTCCAAATGCTTTCATTTAAAGTAGTTTCTCACATTCTTCCTCTCCTTAGGAAATAAGGGCCTTTCAAAGAGCTTATTCAAATTATACTAAAGACATAGAAGCTTTGATTTAATGTTATGAATTTTCATGCCATGCTGTATTTAACATAATTAACAATATTGAATTTTGGGGAAAGAAACTAGACGATTCTGAAGACAGACAAAACTACCAGGAAATTGGTTGGAAACTTTTATTTATATTCTTTTTTATCCCCCTGAAATGTTTGATTTTTCACAGGTCTCCTGCAAGCGCAAAATCTTTTAACGCAACTACCTCAGCAAAGCCAAGCCAACCTCCTACAGCCACAGCCAAGCATCACCCTCACATCCCAGGTCAGTTTTCTACTCTATTGTTTTGGTAATTTAAAAATGAAATGAAACACCCCAGCAATAATAATCTCCAGCATTCAGAAAGTGACCAAAAACTCAATGTTGGGCTTATTAGCTTGATAACACAGCATTGCCAAATTGATTGAAACAGAAATTTTTCATGATTCTTTTTAAGTTCATAAAAAATAACCATGTTAGTAATAAATGGAGGTGAATTATAGCTGTCTGATGGTGATAGATAGGAACACTGAAATGGAAGACCTAGGAAATCAGTTAAAACCTGTCATTGATCCTTTGCCCTTGCTAAAACAATGCAGGAGCTTGGATTTCTGTGTTATCTCCATACTTAAATGTGGTGTTGTGCCATTTCCTCTAGAAGACATAACAGTCATAATCACACAGAAAGCACAGTTCTTAGACATCTGGACTTTTAAGCTGCATACTTGTGTTCCTATCTAGTGATAATTGTGACTGTGTACATCAGTTTGCTGCTCTGGGTTTCCGTCTAGTCATCCTTCCTGACTGACCTTGAATGCTCCCTTGCTTTTGACTCTTTCTAAATAGAAGTTGGGGATGGAGAAATGAATGGCTTAGTAGTCCTTGACAAGGAAGCAATAGGACCAGAACTCATATCCTAAGAACCCACTTTAATGACAGGATCTCCTAAGCAAGCTGGCTATTGAACCTAACCTATTGGCAAGCTCTGGGAAGAGAGTGATCAACCTCTGCCCTCTGCATGCACATGTACACAGATGTACATGTGTCTACAAGTATACACACATGTGTATGTATACACAAACATGAAAAGGAACTGTAGTAATTAAAACTTAATATATTACCGAGTTTCATAGGCTGAAAAGACAGAAGATAGATAGAAGGTCTACTTTGATTGACAGCTTTAGTAACTGGTTACTTGCCCTTTGCCACTGAGCCCTCCCTCTAGCCCCCTGTAACCAACGAAGATAGTAAAGGTAGAAAACTAGAAGGATCATCTGATGTCAAGAATTATCACCAAACTATAATAATGAATATGTAGTATTGCCATATAGAGAGAAATGTAGGCCAATGGAATATGATTGAGTCCAATAGACAGAAATGCAAATAGCCAGCTAATTTTCCAAAGGGACCAAAGGATTCCTATGGGAAAAGTCTTTTTAACAAGTGATAACTAACAATTGACTATTCATTAGCAAAAGGGGATGGAGAACACCCTTATTTCATACTTTATACCAAGATTAGTTTGAAATGAGTCATAAACCTAAACATCCAGAAAGAAATGCATATGCCATTGGGTAAGGCAGGGATTTCTTAAACAGGACACAAGAAGCCTTAACTATCAAAGAAGCAATGAATTTCAGGAAAATTAAAAGCTTATCTTAAGAAAATAGGAAGAAAAAACACAGTTAAGGAGAAAACAGTCTTTTAAAAAAAACAGTTGATAATGATTTGTTTTAAGATTTATTTTGAATTGATGAGGGAAAGGGGAATATTTATGTACGTACTCTGTACTCTGGGAAACCAGAAGAACATATTGAATCACTTGGTGTTGGAGTTACAGGCAGCTGTGAGCTACTGGAAACTGAATTCGGGTCCTCTCCAAGAGCAATATAGATTCAGTCACTGAGTTATCTCTCCAGCCCATGGTAAAAGAATTTTAACTAGAATAAAGAGCACAAACAGCTCAACAGTGAGACAACCAGATATAAGCTAGTGAGAGGCAAAAATCTTAATTGCCAATGAAGATATGTTAATACTCAGTAAGCAAATGAAAACATGCTCAGATATTAGTTATTAGGAAATGTCAATGTGCATTTACTAGAATGGGTACAATAATGAAGGATTTTAGACAAGTATTGATAAAAACAATAAAGCAACTAGATTTTTCATACATTACTAGTAGTTTTTCAGAAAGGTACTAACACTAAATTAGTTTGACACTCACTTAGAAATTAAATACAACTGTACCATATAACTCAGTAGTTTTGCTCTTTAAAAGGAAAGCACAAAGATCTATCTATGAATGCTTATAATAGATTAATAATTACCCCAAACTATCCAATAGTAAGTTACGTAAACTTCTGAATAGCCATGTGACAGACTTATTCCGCAGTAGAAAGAAATGCACTTCTGATACCCGCAATGACATGAATGAGTTTCAAAAGCCTTACACTGAGTGACAGAAGCTGGGCTTAAAAGACTGATTATCAGATTATTTCAGTTTACATAACATTCCAGAAAGGACAGAGCTGTAGGCATAGAAATCCTGTTAGTGCTTATCAGGAAGTAAGGATTGAGGAGGAAGAGGAGGAGGAAGAGGAGGAGGAGGAGGAGGAAGAGGAGGAGGAGGAGGAAGAGTGGTGGCAAAGGGTTCAGAAGAAATTTGGGGAGGATTAGTAAAGATATTCTATATCTTGTGTTAGTAATTACACAACTGTATACAGTTATAAAAGCATCAAGCTATACTGCAGTTTTAAATTTAATTTTTTTAATATGCTGAGTACAAAATAAATAAAATTGGTGTTTTGACATATATACCAGAGACCTCTTTCTGGCCTACATGCTATGCACAGGTAGCAGACTTCATCCTTACTCCTGCTTATTAAATGCTATACCACCATTAGATCTGTCCCAGCTCAGCCAGGTATTTTAGAATAAGATACCAACTGTCTAAAAGTACCCAAGCTATTTTTAATCCATTATTATTTGACAAAGAGTCTACTTGATGCTGAAGATGAAGTAACAGATTGGTAGTGGAAACTGACCTCCACCTGTCAGCCATGGTCACTGTGGTAAGTTTTCAGCAGCACAGGATTCTAATAGAGTTGGTACCCTGTGTAGCTCCTCCAGAAGCTGTAGTTAAAATTGCTCAATGTCAGCATGTCATAGAGACATGCTTTATTGTCTTTATTGAGGCAGGATAGCAGAGGAATTTGCCCCAATTATTATGTCGCTCCTATTATGTAGTTTTCTGGGTCAGTTAGTTCCCTTGGAGCGAACCTTATTAATGAGATCAAGGTCAGGTAATATAAGGCCTATCTAAATTACAAGAAGAAAATCCTAGTTCATAATCTGTCACCGGGCTGCTGTTCATAGGAGGGTTCAACTGAGTAATTAGGATGCACTATTAGTGAACATCCAAAAAGAAGGCCCTACCTAGTGCTTGTGAGTACTGCAAAGTAGCCTGGTATTTGAATAATCAGAAAAATTAGTGTTTTCTTTTTAAAAAGGAAAGGGGATTGGAGAAATGGCTCAGTGGTTAAGACTTCTGGCTGTCTTGTAAAGGACCTGGGTTTGTTTTCTAATATGATTTGTCTCTAACTCCGTTCCAGGGGATCCAGTCCCCTTTTTTGGACTCTGCAGGCACTACACACATATGGTGCACAGACAGGCATTTTAGGGACATACATAAAATAAAACTTTAAACAAGGAAGGAGAGCCCTGGGCTCAGTCTTCAGCATAAAGACTAGAGTGGTAGGGTATCTAAGATAAGTTTCAAAGTAAGCTGTAGATAGATTTAAAGTTAAAATGCAGAGAATAAGTTATCTATATCAGGAGGAACTTGTCTCTTTCTACCAGAAGGGATTTGATCACTAAGAAATAACTAAAGTTTTCTTTCTCAAAGATATAATGGAAATGGGGAGGGGGGGAAACCCATAAAAAAATAGTTGAAAGTTTATACACACTGAAAAATGTTTAAAAGTTGTTTGAAATAATTATTTTTTCTACTATGATAAAATATTTGAAGAAATGGCTTAAAGATAAGGATGAGAATAAAGATATTATTAATGTATAATTGTGATATGAATCTGGTACAAGGAGATACAGGCAATAAATGATGTAGGAAGTCTCTTGCTTTGGTAGTAAGAGAAGTATTATGTCAAAGTAGTGTACCATTTACTCCCTGGTAAGCGTATCCTTGTGTCAGGAGCTGTGCATTGTATAGTGGGGTGCACATTGTGTTGTTTATCAGAAGCATGACCTTATTTATCAAGTTGCTAGAAAAAGACTTTGTGAGTTTATCTTAAAGAACTTTTTGCTGGTGTTGGTGGTACCTGCTTACTCTAAGAACTGTGAAAGTTGAGGCAGTGGGATTACATACTGAATTAAGAGTCAGTCTGGGCTAAGAGAGTAAGAACTTCTCTTTTAAGAAAAGAAAATGGAGTGAGTAGGGGAATAGGCATTTCCTTGTCCTGGTTTTCTTAAGACAGTTTTCTTGTAAATGCATTTTTTTTATCATACAGTGTATTTTTTATCATATTCCTCATCCTCCTCCCAGACCCCTTCCTCAAGTCATGTTCTCAAGCACACCCAACTTGTGATCTCTCCCATCTAGCTTCACACTCTTTTCTCCTATCCTTTTTTTTTTTTTTTTTTTTTTAAATTAAAAAATCTCATGGAGCCCAACTTGTATTGGCTGATCCAGGGGCCTTCCCTGGAATGTGGCCAGTATACCAGGCATGACCTCATTGAAGAAAAGTGATTTTTTCCTTTCCTTGCATCAAATGCCTGTAACTCCTCAGCTAGGGATAGCACCTGATGTCCACCTTCTCTCCTCCGTGCTACAGTTTTGTCTGGCTTGAGCTCATGTGAGTCTGTTTCCTTAAGATACCAGCACATTACAGTTATAAACTGAAGTGTCTATTTTTCTGTTCCTTCTCCAACAGCCTACCACCCCAACTCGCACAATAGCGGCAACCCCAATTCAGACACTTCCACAGAGCCAGACAACACCAAAGCGAATTGATACTCCCAGCTTGGAGGAGCCCAGTGACCTTGAGGAGCTTGAGCAGTTTGCCAAGACTTTCAAACAAAGAAGGATCAAACTTGGATTCACTCAGGTAGGGTAAAGTCACCGGTTCAGTTCACTTTCTGTTACTGTGATAAAACACTGACTAAAACGACCTTGTGAAGAAACAGGCTTTATTCAGCTCACAGTTTCTAGCCTGTTGCTGAGGGAGTCAGAGAAGGAACTTCTCGGAAGGCACTGAAGTGGAAATGTGGAAGAACTCTGCTTCCTGGCCTGTTCCAATATTCTTAACAGCCTGGGCCCTCCACCATCAATTAGCAATTAAGAAATATTCTGTAGACATACCCACAAGCCAATCTGACAGATGACAACTCAATTAAGATTCTCTATTTCTAGGCCTGTCAACAAGTTTAGCCATCAGGATGCCCTCTTTACATATCCTTTCTCGGCTAGCTATGGGTACTTTGTAAGGAACAGAATGGTTTTCGGTCATATTGACTTTGAGTTTAGCTATAGTTGATTTTCTTATAGTCATTTAGCACTTACAATTTTGGAATATTGTGCATTCAGTTATGTTATGCTCATACATTTACTTGTGACATAATATTAGATTAAAAACTTCCAAACATGTTTCACAAAACAGGCCTCTGAAATTCTATCAGTCAGCTGTGTGTTTTATAGATTGTGTTGGTGATGTGACTGTTCTAAGGGTTTGGTGTTAAGAACATGTGGAAGGGCTGGCTACTGCAGATGAAAGTGGAGAAAATAGGGATGCCAGGGTCTACTGGGAGACTCGCTTAAAGCTAGTTTGCAGGAGAGTGTCCTCCTCTCTGTTCTCTCAGCCTACTGAGATTAGTCAAGTAAGAATTTATTGAAGATTTTTTAAAGTAAATTAATCAAAATCAAAATCTTTTAATGTCAGCTACCAGAGGGCTTGAAAAGTGAAAGAAGTATGATTACTGGCTTCAGCAAGCATTTGGTACACAATGTGTTTTTTTCTAAGCACTTCCACTGCCTGTACTCCCTGATTAGCCTGTCAAAAATAATGCTTTAAAAGCAGGAAAGGAATTAAACTTATATTTATGTAAAATGACAAAAGATCATTAGCTGAGAAAAAAAAACTGAAGTTGTGTATTCATAGAATCAGAAGAAAAAAAAAAAAAAAACAACAACCTGACGTCTTCTTTCCAGAAAAGCCTCTACTCACTTTCCAAATGAGGGTGTGTTGAAAGTACCTAGTGCACCCCCGCCTGCTCCATATGTCAGTCAAGGTCTCATCACTGTCTGCTGGAATCTGGGTGTCATTAGGGACTTAGATTTCTTTTACTTTTTATATTTGACGTTTTATTTTTCTTTAAAGAAACTCCATAGTAGGAATTTACAATAGATACAATTGTAGATGAATTGCAGTTACATTTTTTGAGGCATTCCAGATGTAAAGAAACAAATTGAGGGGCTGGTGCTCACCACCCAACCTGATAATCTGAGCTTGATCCTCCAGAGTCTTTGTGGTGCGTCCACACACAGATGCATCTGCATTACACAAACTAACACATGCACACAAAGTAAATTAATGTAAACATTTCAATTACAGTCCAGAAACATTTTAGTAATTTTGAAACAAATAATACGATTTGTTTTAAACAAAAAAATAAAGATAAACTAGATTGATGCAGATAAGTTAATAGACTAAGAAGAAAGTTTAAGGCTAGCACGTTTAACGGTGCTAGGTTTTGGCTATCACCACTTTACACTCTGGAGTTCTCTGGTAAATGGTTGCATAAATGCTAAGTCAAAGATGTTAGCCTTTCCAAGTCTACCTTTTAACCAAACATTGGTTCCCTTTCCCTTTCTTTGATATTTGATCCAAAATATTAGCAGTGTGGGTAATCACTTCTCTCTCTTCTTCCTCCCTCCTTCACTCCCTTTCCTCTCCCCACTTCTCACCGCTCCTCCTTTTCTTCCTCTTCTTCCTCCTCCTCTTCTTCCCCCCTCCTCTTCTTCTTCCTTCTCCTCCTCCTCTGACCTCCCTCATTCACATCACACCTTCATCCCAGCATCTTATTCTGTTTTATGGTTTATTTTGTTTTGTTCTTGGCATAACTGCTACCTATTCTTCAAAATGGCCAAACAGATCTGGAATGGTTTGTAAATCTTGCCTATATGGATCAACGTACTTACTACTGGTACAGGATGGGAAAATCAGCTATCAACCTTTGGTTTTAATTCATATACCTTATTGTAGTTATTCAAAAATAGCTATATATTCAATTTATTCATGTTTATATACATGCACAGTAAAGTATTCAAGTTACTTCTTGAGATACATTCCTATTTTTTGATTAAATACATGTTTTAAAATGTTTTAAACCCTTATTTTTTATAAGCAATAGGTAAGTAGTAGATGCCATTACATAATTAGAAAGCATATCACAGTATATAGCATTTTTCAGATGCAAGAACATTTATTATTTCCAGTGTCAACCTTTGCTCCTTCATTCTTTATTTATTTTAGAAAGGTCAAAGGGAAACAATATAGTTTCTATTATGTATGTTGAAACCAATTGATTAAAACTGTTGACTTGTATGGAAAACACATGAGTTACAAGAGTGCTAAACCAAGATGTACCAAGTTCGTGAACGCTAACGGATTAAATGAGGGGCCGGCATGATTACTTTTCAGTTGCTTTGAAGGAACACCATAACTAAGGCAAATTACAGAAGGAAAAGTTTGCTGGATCTTGCAGTTTCACCTGATGAGTCCATGTTGGAGTTTTACTACTGTGAAGAGACATCATGACCAAGGCAACTCTTATAAAGGCAAACATTTCATTGGAGTTGGCTTACAGGTTCAGAAGTTCAGTCTATTAGCATCATGGTGAGAACCATGGCAGCATGCAGGCAGACATCTATATCTTAATCCAGATCTACATCTTGATCTAAAGGCAGCCACTAAAGGTTCTGTCTTTCCACACTGCATGGAACTTGAGCATTGGACCTCAAAGCCCACCCCCAGAGTGACAAACTTCATCCAACAAGGCTTAATAGTGCCACGTCCCATGGGCTAAGCATATGCAAACCACCACAGTCATCATGGTAGAGAGTATGGTGGTAGACATGGTGCTGAGGCAGTAGGTGAGAGATCCCATCTTGAGACAACAACCATAAGACAGAGAGCTAAGAGGGAAAGCCCTGGGCCTTTGAAACCTCGGAGCCCACCCTTAGTGGCACACCTCCTCCATCAACACCGCACCTCCAAGTCCTTCCCCAAAGTTCTACAACTAAATATTCAGATGTATGAACCTGTGGGAAGCCATTCTCATTCAAACCACCACATTCCACTCCCTGGCTCCCATAGGCTTATAGTTATATCGTAATGCAAAATACATTTGGTCTAACTTCAAACATCCTCTCTCCATCTCAAGATTGTTCAAAGTCCAAGATCTCTTTTGAGACCTAAAGCAATCTCTTAATTGTAACCACCTCTAATACTAAAAAACAAATTATATTCTTCCAATATACAGTGTCACAAAATATATATATTAGCATTCCAAAAGAGAAGAATAGGAGCATGAGGAGGAAATAAAAGACCAAAGCAAGACTGATCCAGCTGGCGAGTCCTGTAGCTCTGTTTTAATATTGAAAGGGTTAAGTGGCTCTTCATATCGTCTCACTCCTTCCAGCTTGCTTTGACTGCAGCGCAGTTCTCTCTCTTAGGCCGGTTCTACTCCTGGTCTGCAGCTCTCCTAGTCAGATCTTCCAGGCCTCTGACATCTCCAATATCTTGGTGTCTCCAACAGATTCCAGGCTTCACTTTCACAGCTTCAGATGCAGTGGTCTTAGCATCTCCGTGCAATGACTCCCCTGTCACATGCCTGTCCTCAATGGTTTGGTTTCGTTTTAACCTCAGAGGAAGATTTCAGAACCCCTTTGCTCTGCATCATTTTTTGACTCTAAAGCAAAAGCCACATGGACAGTCCTACCAAGTTCTTGTACCTGTTTGGACTGGAACCTTGCCCTCTTGAGTCTCATCTGCATGAGCTTTGATTGGGTGTGCTCTTTAGGAACAGTGACTCCTTAGCCGGTTTGTTCTCACAGGTTGCATATTAGCTGGCTGGCTCTCACCAGAAGTCGCTTCTCCCTTACCCCACCTCTCCTTAGCTATTCCATCACAGACCTTGGCTCCATCATTGAATTTCCTGTGATCTTCATCTCTGCAAACTACATTTTGTATTTTGTTTTGCCCTGATGTGTCTTGTTCATTGTAGACCTGTATGAAAATGATCACTAATAACCACATGAACAAGTCAATAGAAGGCTGCCTTGAAATCATCTCTGCCTATGAAATTTCTTCAATTTAAACCTAGACAAATTCTTAGGACAAGGCCAAAAAGCAGCCATATTCTTTGCCAAAATATCACAAGAATCATCTCTGTCCCGGTTGCTAATAGTTTTCCCATGTTGCTCTCACCACTCTTGTCTTTCACGCTCCTTTCAAGAATGGGCCATTAAAAGTCCTGCTTACAGCGTTCAACCACATTCTTAGTTCACAGTCCAGTGTCTTCCTATGCCTACAAATACCAGCATTGTCAGGCCTAGCACTTCATGGTACGCACTTCTTTATTAAGTACTTCCCTGTTTCTGTGAAGAGATTATGACCAGAAGTTTATTGGAGCGTACAGTTTCAGAGTATTAGTTCATTACCACCATGATGGGGAACATGTCAGCAGACAGGCATGGTGGTGGACCAGTAGCTAAGAGCTCATATCCTGAGACATAACCAGGAAGCAGAGAGAATTAGCTAGGAACAGCATGGGCATTTGTGAAAATTTTTTAATGAATTGTGCAGTTCCAGTGTCAGAAAACATTTATTGCCCCTTAATGTTATATACGTCCCCCAAAAAATCAGTGTTTTATTTGGCTCCAGATTTCTAGAAAGCTATAATCTAAACAAATAAAATGATGACATGAATATGTGTGGCTAGCAAAGCCTGAGTTGAGTCCTTGGTATGTAGGAGGCAGTGTATGAAGATTCAGTTGCTGGGTTGAGTAACCGTGATAAAATAGAAAGGGGAAGAAGGTTAATGTGCCTATCAATAGCTTTAGGTACATTTGTATAAAAACATAATAATCCACTTCAGTCCTAGTTAAAGAGATCATTCATTTGCTTTTCTGCAGTTTAAATGTAAGTGGTTACATGGGTGGTGACTAATGAGAGACATGGTGTATATATCTCTTGGGGTTAAATGTTAGGCATATTTCATTTTGTTTTGTAGTTCCATATTTGTTCTGTTTTAAACTTCTTAGTGTGAGTTCTTCATAGTTGTCATCTTGGCATGTGCTTAGAATCTCAGCACTTGAGAAGCCAGGGGTTCACAAGTTCAAGACTAGGCACATAACAAATTTGAGACCATTCTGAGCTACATGAGACCCTCTATTTAAATAATAATCATCATAATATTAAACGAAAATGAGCAAAACCATGCTTTCACATGCTTTTAAATACATCTTTTTCTTGACTCCACATATAATAGACAATATAATCTTAAAAAGATGGACCCGTGGGATTAAAAAAATTCAGACAATCCCAACTCAAGATTGTATTCCTAAAGCAGGGCATAGTAGGCACAAACTTAGAGTCCTGGCACTTGGGAAATACGGACAGGAAGATCACAAATTCAAAGCCAGTTTACATGGTGAGCCCTCAACAGATTAGAGCTAGAAAAATGACTCAGTGGTTAAGACCACTTGCTCTTCTTGCAGAGGGTTTAGGTTCAGTTCCCAGATTCCTTACGATGACTCACAGTGATCTGTAACTCTAATTCCAAGGGATGGAATGCCCTCTTCTGTGGGCATTACACACATGTGTTGTTTATAAATACATATAGGCAAAGCATTCTTACACATAAATAAAAATCTAAAATAATTAATTAAAAATAACATTGCCAGGCTTGTTGAGAATTGACTCTCACAGTAGATAGACTTACTTAGCTTTGTGGAATTTGAAGGAGAAATGCTATACTTTTCTGTCGTGTTACTAATCTAGTTGAAGTGGGTGTATGAGCCATTTAAACTCCATGAGTTCCTCCTGTTATCTATAAAATAGCTATTAAGATACATCTTTTTCAAACTAGAACAAGAGCTATCCAGCTGGAAGAAAAGCACTGTGTACATTTCAAAGGTGATAGGCTCATGGAGAAAGGCATCTTTTGTAATATATTCAGAGGATCATTGTTCTGTTTCAATAAGGTTACCAAGTTTCCAGTGCCCATGAAGGTTTTACTAAATGGGTCAAACCTCTCTACTGTGAATTTCTACCTCTATAATGGCTACAAACATGGCCCTTTAGAATACCTGGTTTTGTGATCAACTTTGAAATCTAAACTAAGAGTGAAAATAGATTTTTTTTCACGGCTTCCAGAAATACTTACAAGAAAAACTATAAAGAATGAGAGGTCATTTCTAAATTTTAAAGTAATTTATGTGAAGTTTGGCTGATTCAGAAATCCCTGATTTAGGGGCACTTGCCACTAATCCTGATAATTTGGGGCTTAATTCCCAGGAACTACATCTACCTACAGTTAAAAGGAGAGAGCCAGCTCCCTCAAGTTGTCCTCTGACCTCCACATAGGCATCATGGCCCAAGAGGGAGGGTTCACATTACATACATACATACATACATACATACATACATACATACATACACAATAATAAGAATAAATTGCTGGGCTTTCTAAACATCTAATCCCTATAGGTGATGCAGGTAGATTTAAAGGTTACTTAAATCATGTTGCTTGTGTTACTAGAAGGACATTAGTATATCAGCACTATCTTTGAAGACTTAGAGATTTTGGTATGATGGTTAAAGTTACATAAGATAGAGACTCAGAATAGCACATGAGGTGCTAGAGAAGGCTTCCAGGTCAAGGCCCTGCTAAGCTCTCCCTACAGCCATGGGCTCTACTTGGAGGTGAAGTTGGTGGGGAAATGGAGGAAATAGAATGATGGCCAGTTGTCTGTCTAGAGCAGCAATTATTTAAGTAGCCTTTCAAAATAGAAGTTGGAAACATTAATAACATGAATCTCTTTTCCTCATTTCTCTTTCCTGTTCTATGTTATTCAGGGTGATGTTGGGCTCGCTATGGGGAAATTATATGGAAATGACTTCAGCCAAACCACCATCTCCCGCTTTGAAGCATTGAACCTCAGCTTTAAGAACATGTGCAAGTTAAAGCCCCTGTTAGAGAAGTGGCTAAATGATGCAGGTAAATGAACACAGGAAGAAACCTCCTCATTGTCCATGGGATTTCCTAGGAGGGATTTCCCAATCTGCAAACTGGGGTCTTACTGTATTGGTGATACTGCAAAATGATGGCTCCACTAATCCTGTGAAAATCTTTATTTTAATACTCCAGTAATTACAGTAAAAATAACCAGCAATAATTGCTGCCTTGAATTTTTTTTTTATTTGAGCCAGGTTTAAGGATGGACATAGATTTTTTTTTTTTTTGGAGGGTGAGGATTAGAAGGCCTGTGTGTGTGTAGAAAATCTTGAGGAACAGACAGATTATTCCTTCCTTTTTTTTTGGTTTTTCGAGACAGGGTTTCTCTGTGTAGCCCGGGCTGTCCTGGAACTCACTCTGTAGACCAGACTGGCCTCGAACTCAGAAATCCGCCTGCCTCTGCCTCCAAAGTGCTGGGATTAAAGGCATGCACCACCACCGCCCGGCAGATTATTCCTTCCTTGAGTAGATTGACATAGAATTTGTAATCTTTCTGCTTTTGTTAAAAATGGCCACCTGTTTCATACAAAAGTTAGGCTTTTGGTCTTGAATTATTTATTTTATTTTGAGATAATCCTTTTAGAAACTTTGAATTTTGAGCCACAAAATCACAGACTTCAGGAGCTAAAAGGAACCACAAAGACGCCTATCCACGTAGTTTCCTTTGTAGATAGAAACAAAAATTAAGCCTTTGGAAAAGAAGAACTTAAGACACACCCACACCCCTGGCATATTGACTCAGTAGCTGGGGGAAGCTTAGCCATCTGGTATCTTTTTTGCAGTCACAGGCAAGAACCACTGATCTGTTCCATCTTAGTTTTCAAGCAGTAGAAAGAAATCCGCTGTAACATGCCCAGGCTTAATCAGTGCTTAAAAAAGAGTTCCATTCTAACCTTAAAGAATTCCAAAGTACCCTCTCTCAACTATTGTACTGAGAGACTGAAAAGTCATCTCTAAATTAAACATTAAATCCAATGAATTTTAAGAAACATTGTTCCCTTTTATCTTCAGCTTATAAACAAGCAAATGAACCGAACTGAGGGACGTGTAGGTGGAGGAATAGAACTTTTGTATTCTCAGAAACAAACCAAAAATGAGTGGTGACAAAAGTTAACTGCCCTGGAATAAAGGTCGCCAGTAAAGACAGTGTGGAAAGTCAGCGGCAGTGCTTCCATGGAGATTACATTAAGAATCTGATGTTACCACTGAGCACTAAACGTTTGACCAGTGTTATTGTTCTTATGTATTCTGCCTGTGAGTCCTTAAGCTCAGTTTCTCTGTGTGTGTTTTCTTTGTTCATATAGAGAATCTCTCGTCTGATTCTACAGCATCTAGCCCAAGTGCTTTGAATTCTCCAGGGTTGGGGGCTGAGGGCTTGAATCGAAGAAGAAAAAAACGCACCAGCATAGAGACCAACATCCGTGTGGCCTTAGAGAAGAGTTTCATGGAGGTTGGTGTTATTTTTCATGTGTCCTGTACTTTTGAACTGTAGATATTAAGGCATAATCTCCACCCTGATGGGCACTTTAACAGGGAGAAAGTAGGATACCAGATAATACTACACGTGAGTACTGCAGGACTTAAGAGAGACAATGGTTCTAAAATGTGAGTATTCGGTAGGGAGCATAGGAACAAATCCTGCCGACTGGAAACGATGGGAGAAGAGTACCTCACAGAGTCATCTCATAAGCATAGGCCTCCAGAGGAAACCGTGCCTGTTCAGAAGAAACACTGGTGGTTTAGTTGGCTAAATTTTAGTGTCTTTATACCTAGAATGGTAGTTTGGGGACACACACTAGAGACCTTGGATATCCTATTATGGAATTCAAGTTAATTCAACAGATATTTGGCTTTTTAAAAAAATGGACTTTCTACAAAAAATTCTGACTTCTAATTCAGAAAGATCTGTGTTTACAATTGAGTCAGGAGTCTTCCTTGGCTTTGCCTCTTATTAAAGGCACATCACATCACCTGATTTCATGATGTTCCTGCACCTATGAAATTGCCTTCCGTTCCTGCCTCAGAAGCATAGTATGATGTCCCAGTTAGATAATATGAATAAAACACGAAAACTCATCCATTCCTAGTAGTCCATAAGGTTGTATTACTTTTTTAACTTTAAGATTAATAGACTTTAGCCTGGCATGAGACATTCTAATCCCAGGCCTGGGAAGCAGAGGTAGGTGGATCTCTGTAATTTTGAGGCCAGCCTGGTCTATATACAGAGTTCCAAGACAGCCAGAGTTACACACTAAGACCCTGTCTTTAAAAAAAAAAAAAAAAATGAATAGACCTTTACAGCAAGGATCACTTACTCTGTTGATAACATTTTAGTAAGTGTAGCATGTATTAAAGCATATCTGTAGAAGTTGTTGCTAAGGTAACGTAATGTAGTCATAAGGATTCTACCATCCTTTTCTGCCTGACTTCTGCCTATGGGTACACTAGTTCAAAAAGTTATTTCATAAAGTTGGTTGTGGTGGCACACACACCTTTAAGGAGGCAGCCAGGCAGATCTCTGTAATTTGAGGTCATCCTGGTCTACATAGACTAGGGTTTGATTCCGAAAACCCCACATATGGCTCAAAACCATCTGTAATTCCAGGTCCAAGAGATTGAACACTGTCTTCTGACCTCTGGAGTCACTGTACATGCATGTAGGCAGAACACTCCTAATAAATAAATCTGAAAAGAAAAGGAAAGAAACAAAGTGTTCCAGGGCTAAAATATAATTCAAATGTAGAGTGCTTGTCCCTGGATTCAATCTCCAGCATGGCAAATATATAAAATGAAATTTTTAAAATTATAAAAGATGGGCTTTTTTTCCTCTCTTAGAATCAAAAGCCTACCTCGGAAGATATCACCTTGATTGCTGAACAGCTCAATATGGAAAAGGAGGTGATTCGTGTTTGGTTTTGTAACCGCCGCCAGAAGGAGAAAAGAATCAACCCACCAAGCAGTGGTGGGACCAGCAACTCACCTATCAAAGCAATTTTCCCCAGCCCAACCTCACTGGTAAGAGTGGATGTGGAAGAGATACACTCTTCAAGGGCTCATTTTTAGTCTTGCAAATGTCCTGGAAGTAAATTCACTTCCTACCACTTGTCCTAGTTACTATTCTATTGCTGTGATAAAGTACCATGAATGATCACAGCAACTTATAAAAGAAAGCATTTCAACTTATGACTTCAGAGGCTGGGTCCATGATGGTAGAGCATAGAAAGAGCAAAAAGCTCACATTTTGATCCTCAAATAGTAGGCAAAAATTCTGGGAATGAAAAGAGCTTTTGAATTCTCAAAGCCCACTGCCAATGACACACCTCCTTCAACAAGGCCATACCTTCTAATCCTTCCCAACAGTTCCATCAACTGGATTTAAACATACGAACCTATGTGATTATTCTGATTTAAACTGTAACAGTTAAGGAGGAGCTGTGTGTGTGTGTGTGTGTGTGTGTGTGTGTGTGTGTGTGTGTGTGGTGCATGTGATGTGTGTGGTGCATGTGATGTGTGTGACATGTGTGATGCATGTTAAACAAATGTATTAAAATGCCTACTTTAAATATTTCCAAAATTATGAAATCTTTCATTGAGAACCCAAGAACTTACTGGTTTTCTTTATTTCTGGAAGTAAACAGTTTGAAGTCTTTTCCAGGTTTTTTTTTTTTTTTTTTTGTTTTTTTTTGTTTGTTTGTTTTTGTTTTTGGCATTTTCATCTGTAGCTAATAAGGTTCCACTGCAGCCATAATGGTAGATTTGCTCCTGAAAAAAATGTGTTCCTTTATTACCATTCAGTCCTGAAGCCCATTTAATAAACTTACACAATTAAGTGACAGTAAATTCCCAAGGATGAATAGTCCATCTCAAATCTTCACTCTTGGACAGTAGGGCAGCCTTCATCTAGAACCTTACTTGGTCACTTCTGCCATTTGCATTAGAACATTATTTCTAGATGGAAGGGACATGCCAGGTCAGGGGACTCCCTGATTTAACTTTTTTTCCTTTTAGGATTGTAGATCAGTCATGCTGCCAGACAGGCTTCAAAAGAAAGCTGATTGCTAAGTTTGCATTTATGTTCCTTTTGTTGTTGTTACTCGGCTTCTATTTTATTTTAATGTTATCCCGTGCTACAGCCTCTTTCCCTTCCCGCTTAGTTCTTTAAGAAAGGTTTTCTCTGTGTGTCCTTGGCTGATCTGAAACTCACTGTGTGCACCCGACTAGTCTGGAGCTCGCAGAAATCTGCATGGCCTCTGCTTCCCAAGTGCTGGAATTAGAGGCATATTGCACCACACCTGGCTATACAAAGTTGGTTTGTTTTTTTTTTAATAATTAATTTTGTTTTGTGTACATTGGTATTCTGCCTACATGTATGTCTGTGTGAGGGTGTCAGAGGCCCTGATACTAGAATTACAGACAATTGTGAGCTGCCATGTAGGTGCTGGGAATTGAACCCAGGTCCTTTGGTTAAGAACATCCAGTGCTCTTAACCACTGAGCCATCTCTCTATTCCCTTCACAAAAGTTTTTTTAAACTAAGGTCAGGTCAGCATTGCTTATTAAGTGAAGGTTATTAAAGGTTATTAAATAGAAATGTTTTAATCGGGCCGGGCGGTGGTGGCGCACGCCTTTAATCCCAGCACTTGGGAGGCAGAGGCAGGAGGATTTCTGAGTTCGAGGCCAGCCTGGTCTACAGAGTGAGTTCCAGGACAGCCCGGGCTACACAGAGAAACCCTGTCTCGAAAAACCAAAAAAAACCAAACAAAAACAAACAAAAAAAAAGAAATGTTTTAATCATAAAATTGATATAGTAACAAATCATAGTCTTTAGATAACAGTTTTGTGTAGATGATTGTTTTGTTTTTCAGCCTTAGCTATCATAGAAAGTGGTCAGGGTCTTACAAAACCATAAAATATTTATTACAATATTTCAAAAAGAAGTGCAAGATTGTTTTTAAAATCTGCCTTACTAAAGCTTGGAAATGGTGGGGCACACACACCTTCAATTTTTTATTAGTTCTTTGAGAACTTCAATATATTTTAATTGTATTTCCCCCTTTCCCAACTCCTGCAGCTCCAAATACATACACACACACACACACACACACACACACACACACACACAACTTGTATCCTTTTTATTTTACCCATCAAGTCCATGTTGTTCTGCACACACACACTCTTACATATATGGCCATCCACTGAGGTGTGATTGACTTACCAATGGCCACAACTTAAAACTAACCCTCCTGCTCCCAACAGGTTTCAGTTGCCAATAGTTCCACAGCTAGGGGTTGGAGTTCACGCTACCTCCCCGCTTCGTGCTGGGATTCCGACTGGCTGGAGCTGGTGTGTGTCTTGTGCATACTGTCATAATCACTGTGACTTCACATGTGCAGTGCTCTTCTGGGTCAAGAAAACGGTTCGTCCGCCTTCCCTAGCTCTTAAAGCCATTCCTCCTCCATCTTCTGCAATGAATCCTGAACCTTAGGAAGAGTGGGTGTGATAGATTCCCTTTTAGGGCTGAACATTCCTTAGTCCCCTAGTCTCTGTAAATAACCAGTTTCGAGCCTATGTTAATCTCTTCAAAAAGGAGCTTCTCTGATGAAAGTCGAGAGCTGCACTAATCTGTAACAGTAAATCTTTAGAGATAGTTTAATATTATGTCCATTTAGCGAAGTAATATTAGGTTCTTCCCTTGGGGCTATTATCTGTCTAGCCACAGGTCCCTGACCCCAGTAACAGCACACAATTTAATCTCGGGTCTCAGGAGGAAGAAGCAGGTGGATGTTTGTATTGGAAGCCAGCCTGGTTAAAACTTAGTTCTAGACTAGCCCTAGCTACATAGTAAGGTTGTCTTTTTGTTTGTTTTGTTTTTCAAAACAGGATTTCTCTGTGTAACCCTGGCTATCCTGGAACTTGCTCTTTAGACCAGGCTAGCCTTGAGTTCAGAAATCTGTCTGCCTCTGCCTCCCATTGTTGGGATTAAAGTTTTGCACCACTACACCTAGCCAAAGGAATGTAAGTTAGCCAGTTGGTGGTGGTACACAATACTTTAATACCACCAGTCAGTACTTGGGAGGTAGAGGCAAGTAAATCTCTTAACTCAAGGATAGCCAGGGCTATACAGAGCAACCCTGTTTCTAAAAACGAATAGATGGATGGATGGATGGATGGATGGATGGATGGATGGATGGATGGATGGATGGATGGATGGGTGGGTGGATAAGTAGATGGGTGGATGAGTAGATGGGTGGATGGGTGGATTCTTCCACAAAATCAAAAGTAAAAACAGTATAAGCACTAATGCTGTCATAGTTCTCTTGTTTAGGTGATGTTGATGTTTAGGTGTTGTTCTAGCTGATTTAGAATCTGCCTGACTAAACATTCAAATTTAAGAACTATTCAACTATGTTTAAGAACTATATGATTATGCTACATACACTTTTTTCTTGTCTCACCTCTAGGTGGCAACCACTCCAAGCCTTGTGACAAGCAGTACAGCAACTACCCTCACAGTCAACCCTGTCCTCCCCTTAACCAGTGCTGCCGTGACTAACCTCTCTCTTGCAGGTAAGCAGCAAACAGCTTACTGGCTAGCCAGCACAATGCCCGTCAGGTTTCTCTGAAGACCTGCTAGGTCATGAAGGTACTACCTAAGATGTGAATTGGTTGTGGGGTGTGTTTTGTTTTGTTTGTTTGTTTACTATATGACTATGGGTCTAGGGAGATTACTCTGTGAACATAGCCATGAAGACTAGAGTTCACATACAGAGTACACATTTATACCCAAGTGGGCTTAGTAGCCCATCCATAACCCCAGTGCTAGGGAAACAGGGAAAGGGTTTCACTGAAACAAACTGATAGGCAGGCTAGCCAGATTGGTATGTTCCAGATTCAGTAAGAGACCTTACCTTGATAAACAGGGAGCAAACAAGGAAGGCACTCCTGTCAATTTCAGGCCTCCACATGTACCTTACTACATACATGCAAGCATATATGATTCAACTTGATCACTCATATTCTCTCTCTCTCTCTCTCTCTCTCTGTGTGTGTGTGTGTGTGTGTGTGTGTGTGTGTGTGTGTGTACGTGTGTACGTGTGTACGTGTGTACGTGTGTACCTGACCTCAAGCTGGACATGGTAGTGTTCACTTATTTTTTTTTTTTAAGACTGAGTCCTGGCTGACCTCCTGAGTGGACCTCTCACTATGCAGACCAGCCTTGCTTTGAACTCAGATCCTATATGCTTCTACCTCCTGAGTGCTAGGATTAAAGGTGTGTACCACAACACCTAAACCCAGCTTAAAAAACAAAAAGTATAAAAAGTTTTAAATCTTCTATTAGTCCATCTCCTACACTGTTTCCAAACTTTTAAAACACATCCTTGGGGCTGGTAACATGGCTCAATGGTTAAGAGCTCTGACTGCTCTTCTAGGGGTCCTGAGTTCAGTTCCCAGCCAGCACATGGTGGCTCACAACCGTTTATAAGGGGATCTGATGCCGACTTCTGCCCTGCAGATGTATATGCAACAGAGCATTTGTACATTAAATAGTTTTTGTGTTTTTTTTAAACCTTTATTCAAGTGACTGTTTTCTTCATAAAACTTTAATAGTGATGACTTTTTACATTCAGAGAAACATACAGATTCATTAATTATATTGAGTACTTTTATGCTAGACTATTGCCGCCCCACCCAACACATGGTATTTTATGATCAAATCTAATTCTGGAATTGTAGACATTGTTGTTTTTTAAATTCATATCTTAAATTTATAACATCTCTTCATAACATCTCTTCAGTTCTGTGATCCTACCATGCTATAAAAATTCAGTAGATGGCTTCATCGTGTGTTTTTAAGCAATTAGAACATGCCGGGTTTTTAAGTCATCTAAACAGCACTTTGTGACCTCTTGGCTGTTATGCCTTGTACAGAATTTCCTTCCATAATAGGCATGCACATAGTTTTTAGTAACTTGACAGTTTCATAAATGATAACCTCAGCAGCGCCTACCCCCAGGCCACTTGTGGCTGCTCTGTGTGCATTATTTTAACTTTATTTTATGTGCATCACTGTATTGCACACATATATGTTTGTGTGAGGAACTTGGATCCCCTGGAACTGGAGTGAGAGACAGTTGTGAGCTTCCATGTGGTGCTAGGAATTGAACCCAAGTCCTCTAGGAGGACAGCCAGTGCTTTTAACCACCGAGCCATCATCTCTCCAGCCTATTATTTGTCTTGTCTTGTCTTGTTTTGTTTTTAAAAACAGGGTCTTATATATCGCTGATGATGTAGATACCCTATGAAGACCCCACTGGTCTCACACTTACATAAATCTGCCTGCCTCTGCCTCGTGAGTGCTAGGATTAAAGATATGTGCCTCCATGCCCTGATAAATTGTATTTACAGAAATCCCCAACAGAAAGAAACCTGAATCCTTTAATATTTGAAAATTAACATGTGGCCAAGATCCAGTGAATTTAAAGGATTAAAGTCATACAAAATATGTCTTTTTAGAAATCAACAACAGATACTTGGGGATCCTCAAATATTTGGAAATTAAATAAGGAGTTTATGCTAAAGAAGAAACCAAGAAATTAAGAAAAATTTTAAAATTAAAAAACAATTGAAAATGAAGCATCTCAGAAGACAGTAGTGATGGCACACAGTGTAACCCCAGTGGGAAGGGCAGAGGCCATCATGACAGCCTGTCTGCAGTGATAGAGATCAGAGGAACAGTACCATGGGTCAGCAGCCCACAGCTCACATTTAAACTTCTGGAGTGTAGGAAGTGAGTGGGGGATTGCAATACTTAACAAGAGGAGAGTGGCTACAAGGCTAGCCTAGGCACATAGTAAGACTCTGTCTTGAAGGAAGGATCATAGTCATATTTTTGAAAAGAAGAAAAAATTAGTCCCAAAGCAATCAGAACAATTAACAAGGATTATAGCAAAAATAATAATAATAATAATAATGAAGAAGGCAGTAGAGAAAAACAGTGTGCAACTGAAAATTGACCAACTTATCTGCAACCAAGAAAAAAGAGACACATAATACCAAAATCAGTAAGCAGAACTAGAGTGGAGCAGTGTTGTGTCTACCCCTTTAATCCCCTGCACTCAAGAGCAGAGGCTGGTAGACCTCTGAATTCTAGGCCAGCCTGTTCTGTATAGTGAGTTCCAGGACATCCAAGGCTACACAGAACCTGCCTCATTAGGTAGGTAAGTAGGTAGGTAGGTAGATGATAGATAGATAGATAGATAGATAGATAGATAGATAGATAGATAGATAGATA